CGCTGGGGGTTGGACACGAGAGCCTGCGGGTCGCAGGTGCCATACAGGTCGGAACGGGCGGCCTTCGCATAGAAGGAGCCACGCCTCGTGCATCCTAGGATCTCCCCAGCCCTGTACAGGATGCAACCTCGGGCCGCCTCGGGCGGCACGAACGCGCCCCCATCCGACGGGAGCGCCGTGCTGGGAGGGGCAGCCGTGGCCCTACAAGGGGCCGCCAGACGGGGGCGCTTCTTCGAGCCGTCGAGGGCGGTCGCCGCATCGCGGACCACCCCTTGGGGGCGCGACTCGAACCGAACCCTGGGCTTGACCTGCCTCACGAAAGGCTCCGCCAGCTCCCTGATTGGCCTGGCCTGGCTCGTGGACTCCTGGGCAACCCCATAGGGAGGAGGAGGAGGCGGAGGAGGAGGAGGGTCCTCAAGGCCCAGAAGAGGAGCAGGAGGAGGAGGAGGAGGCGAAGTCTCCTCGGGATCCCCTGAGGCCTTCTTGGCCTCCAGCCGCGGGCACGCCACCTTGCCCTCCGAGGCCTCCGAGGGGTCCCTGGGGCGCTTGGTCCTAAGGGGCTCAGGCTCTCTGGGGGCTGGCGGGGGCTGCGGGTCCACAATCCTAGGCAGAGGGAGATCAGCAAAACAAGCCTGCGCCATCATTCGCCTCTTACCAGCGGCGGATCGCGCGAAGCGCGGACAATTAGCGCATTTCCAGCCACACAGCGCGCGCTCAGGTGCATGGCGCCTCTGGTGGCTCAGGAGCGGCGCGGGAGGCCGCCGCTCTCGCCGTGGACGACCCCGTCGGAGTCGCTGCTGCCGTCGAGCTCGCCTCGAGACCGTCGGCATCCTGTCGGGCCTCGCCTCGACCAGCTCCTGCGCGTTGCCGATCCAGGCCGCGATCGGGCGGACTCGGTCCAGGAGCTCCCGGTGCCGAGCACGCGCCGCTGGTGGGATGTCGTGCTTGGCGAGTCCCTTCTTCGCCGCCGCGTCGGCATAGTCATTGCCCTACTTGCCATGGTGATGCCTGCTGTCCTCCTGTGTCTGGTGGCTCTTGACGCACTCGATGCCGAGGATGTCGCTGATGCCCCCATGATCCTCGAGCGCGTGCCAGAGCAGCCGCCACAAGTCGACGTGAGCCCGTCGAGGATGCAGGCACCACTGCTTGCCCTGGTTGATACCGTCGATCGTCATCATACAGTCGGTGTGTATGTGGAGGGGGAGGATGCCATTCCTGAGCGTCATGATGATGGCGTAGAGCTCGGCTCTGGGCACCGACTGCTGAGCTCCTGGGAGAGGACCGAACGCTAAGCCTTTCAATCGTTGGTCGTCCATGAGGGCCAGTCCCCAGCCCGCCCGAGCACCTTCAGGCCACCCAATGTGCGTGCGACCTGCTCCGTCGGTGTACACCTCGCCCGTGATCTGATGAAGCTGGCCGCCGTAGGCGTAGTACCAGATCTCCTCGCTAACTGGTGGAGGCACAACTGGGAGCTGATCTCGATCAAGCATGGCTCGCGTGAAGAGCATGTCGTTCTCAGGAACCTGGCGCGCCTCATCAATGATTTCTTGATCCACTGCGAGCGCACGCTCCTCAGCTAAGTTGGGGCAGCACCATAGTCGATGATGAAGCGTGCCCTTGCAATCCTGGCAATACATGCACTCCTCCGTGTCCGAGAAGCCGTACTTGTGCAATCTCGCTTGTGACCATTGGCCGCCGATGATGGTGCTGCGGAGCGCTGCGCGCGCTCGTACTGAAAGTCTCCACTTGCGAGCTTGATCACGAGTAGTGAGCAGAAGCTGGAGAGGGGCAAGCCAGTACCCACATGCCTTTCGTGTAGGAGCCTCCGTCTCAGGTGCGTGGTCAGCTCGCGAGGCCTTCTCTCCCCACTTATAGTTGACGAAAGACCTCCTCGCCAGAGCACGTACCCAATCAGGTGGATCAACTCTGAGATCAAGCTGGGCGCCCTGGGCTGTGGTCAACTGGAAAGCGGACTGAGCTCTCCAACCCAGTTGGTGGAGGACGTTCCAAACCGCACCTGCAGGCCCCGCTCCATCTTGCCACGAAGGAACTGGGCCCAGTCGGTGTCGCTGCTGCTGAAAAGCTTGATTCATAACTTCCCAAGGTAGAACTCTGTCCGATGCCATTTGCGCCCAGGTGTAGACTGGTTCTGCCACCGCGAATATATCAGGGTGTTGGTCTCGCCTCTGCTCCAACTGAGAAGCCAACCACGATGAGGTCCCCGTCGGTGTTTTATGCCAGCCCACACGCACCATCTTGGTCATGGAGCGCACGATGGAGCGAGATGCTCCGATCACCTGCACTCCGTAGAGGATCGCTGGACCAATCGATGGCTGAGCTATGGCGCGACCGATCCTTGCCATGGCGGCCATGCGTTTGAACCTGGGAAGACGTCGCTTGAGCTTGGTCATGCGATACCTGATAGCCGTGTACTGAACCTTGACTCCATCTCTGGCCTCCATGCCCAAGATCTCGAGCACCGTGCACGCCTTGAAGCCATGCTGCTTAACACGATCTGCCACTCGTCTTGCAGGAGGAGGAGGAGGAGGAGGAGGCGGTGGAACTTTGGGCTGAAAGAGGCGACGGAAAAGGAGGCTCCAGGGCCCGTGCTAAGCCTAGGGTCTACCCCTAGGGCTACCCTAGGCCTACCCCTAGGGCCTGCCCCTAGGGCTACCCTAGGGCTACCCCTAGGGCCTACTCCCAGAGCTACCCTAGGGCTACCCCAAGGGCATACCCCTGTGGCTACCCTAGGCCTGCCCCTCGGGGCCTACCCGTAGGCCTACCCTATGGCTACCCCTAGGGCCTTCAGTAGGCCCTATCTTGAAGGCCCTACCCTAGGCAAGCCTAGGGCCTTCAGTAGGCCCTCGGGTAGCCTAGGCCCCCCGGGGTCTATATCCCTCCTCCTCGCACTCCTCCTTTTCCCACTCCTTCTCCTGAACCTTCCTCAATGAGAGCTCTTCCTCCTCGTTATCATTTTTCTCCTCCCTCCTCCCTCCGCCTCCGCCTCCTCCTCCTCATTCTTCTCCTCCTCCTCCTCCTTCCACTCCTCTTCCTCGCGCTCCTCCTCCTCCTCCTCCTCCTCCTCCTCCTCCTCCCCTCCTCCTCCTCCTCCTCCTCCTCCTCCTCCTCCTCCTCCTCCTCCTCCTCCTCCTCCTCCTCCTCCTCCTCCTCCTCCCTCCTCCTCCTCCTCCTCCTTTCTTTTCTGTCGCCTCCTCCTCCTCCTCCTCCTCCTCCTCCTCCTCCTCCTCCTCCTTCTCCTTTTCTGTCGCCTACTCCTCCCCATCCTCTTCCTCTCCCTCCGTCCTCCTCGATCGCACATGGATGGGGTCCCGTGCGGGCCCACGGCAGGCGGACTGGCTGGGCGGGGGGACCTAAAGTATGCTGTGTCGCGTCAGCATTTCGCTGGCACGCGTGCGCCTGTGGCGGGCGGGCCGGGTCGGGCGGGCAGGACATCATCACATGCCTGGCACGCGAGAGCCCGTGACGGGCGGGTAGCGCGTCCGTGGCGGCGCTGGTCGGGTCGAGCGGACTGGACAGTCAAATATATTAAGGTGCGTCCTCCCATGCCTGGCAAGCGAGCTGCCGGGACGGTCGGGTCGCGGGTCTGGCGGGCGGGTCGGGCCGGGCGGGCGGAACCACCTGTTGTAATGCATCACCCTTTGCCTGGACCGCGGGCACCCTCGTCGGGCGGGTCGGGTCGGGCGGGCGGAACATGAAAATATGTTGTTGCGCATCAAGATTTGCCTGGTACACGGGCACCCGTGGCAGACGGGTCGCGCGTCTGCCGGGCGTGTCTGGGCGGGCGGGCGCGACATTCAATTATGCTGTGTGTCGCATCAGCACTTGACTGGCACGCGAGCGCCCGTGGCGGTCGGGCTAGGTCGGGCGGGCGAGACATTCCAGTATGTAGTGGTGCACAATCAAATGCTTCATCCTCCTCCCCCTCCTCCTGCTCCTCTTCCTCCTCCTCCTCTTCCTCCTCCTCCTCCTGCTCCTCCTCCTCCTCCTCCTTTTCCTCCTCCTCCTCCTCCTCCTCCTCCTCCTCCTCCTCCTCCGCCTCCGCCTCCGCCTCCGCCTCCTCCTCCTCCTCCTCCTCCTCCTCCTCCTCCTCCTCTTTCTCTTCCTCTTTCTCTTTCTTTTTCTCTTTCTCTTCTCTCTTTCTCTTTCTCTCTTTCTCTCTTCTCTTTCTCTTTCTTTCTCTCCTCCTCCTCCTCCTCCTCCTCCTCTCCTCCTCCTCCTCCTCCTCCTCCTCCTCCTCCTCCCCCCCTCCCTCCTCCCCTCCTCTCCTCCCTCATCCTCCTCCTACCTCCCCGTCCTCCTCCTCCCAACGCCCTCCCCTCTCCTCCCCCCCCCTCGTGCTCCCCGCCCTCCCTCCCCGCTCCTCCCCCTCCTCCTCCGCCTCCTCCGCCTCCTCCTCCCTCCTCGTGCTTCTCCTCCAGCCAAGGCGACTCTGCGAGAGTAGGCCCTGGGGCAGGCCTAGGGTAGCCCTAGGGGTAGGCCCTACGGGTAGGCCTAGGGTAGCCCTAGTGGTCGGCCCTAGGGGTAGGCCTAGGGTAGCCCTAGGGGTAGGCCCTAGGGGTAGGCCTAGGGTAGCCCTACGGGTAGGCCCTAGGGGCAGGCCTAGGGTAGCCATATGGGGTAGGCCCTAGTGGCCCTAGGGGTAGGCCTAGGGTAGCCCGAAGGGTAGGCCCTGGGGGTAGGCCCTGAGGGTAGGCCCGAGGGTAGCCCTTGGGGTAGGCCCCAGGGGTGGGTAGACCTTCCTTCCAAAGCCTATGAGGGAGGAGAAGGAGGAGAAAGAGGAGGAGGAGGAGGAGGAGGGTGGGCAGGACGACAAAAAGATACGGAGGAAGGGAAGCAGGAGGAGAAGAGGGTGGAGGGCGACGACGACGACGACGACGACGACGACGACGACGACGACGACGACCACGACGACCACGACAACCACGACCACGACCACGACCACGACGACAACGACGGCGACTTCAACGGCAACGGAGGGCCAAAGCCGGCGCCGCGGGCGAGAACGGGCGCGGGCGCCGCGGCGCTGGGCGGCGCCGCCAGGTGCGCGCCCTGCGGCCGCGGGCCTCCCGCCGCGACTGCGAAGCACGGTCGCGGCTGCATCGTCGCGCGCGGGGGGGCGGGGGCGGGGAGCGGCGCGGAGAACGGGCTGGTGCCGGGAGGTGGCCCTCCGAGAAGGGCTGGCAGACCTGAGCTGGATCGAATCGCGAGATCGAATATCGGCGGATGGGGAACGACGAACGAGACGAATCGGATCGAAGCCGGATCGAGGCGCCCGGCTCCGGCTGGCCCCAGCCGGTGCGCGTGAATCGAATCGAATTGGACTCGCGGCCCCAGCCGGCGCATCGAATCGCATCGAATCGCAGGCGGCCCTGGCTGGTGCCAGGAGGCGGCCCTGGGAGAAGGCTGGGGGCCTCCCCGAAGGGGTCGCGGAGGGCCTCCAGGGAGGCAGGCGGATGTGTCCTTCGCTGGGCTGATCGCTGCACGCCGTCGCACATACGGTCGGGAACTTTTGATCAGCGTGTCGCGGCGGCAGCCCCGGCGACACGCTATGCCCTGCGAGCGGATTACGCGTCGCTCCGCTCCGCGGGGCGGGAGGCTTGGAAAGGCTCGGGCGGTTGACGCCTGGACACTGGGTGGCGGATCACGTGTCGCGCCAAGGCGTGGTGGGCCGGGACCGGCGGGGAGAAACGCTGAGCCGAAGTTCCTGACGCTTTGCATTTGGCTGAGGAGCGCTCCGGCAGGAGCGGAGCGTGAAACGTCCCTTGCACCAAAGCGTGGCGCGAGCCTCTCCACACATCAAGAGGGCTTCCCCCCCCCCCCCCTTCTAAGAGGGCCGCCCCTCTGGCGCCAGCCCCTTCTGCGCGCTGCCGATGCTGGCCGCGGCGAGTATGGGAGCGGGATGGGCAGAAGGCGCCTTGGGCCAAGAAAGCTGCTGGGTAGTCGGAGAGACGTAGGACTGGCTCGGGTTGGCCTGACGGGGCCATCGTGAAAATGACGGGACGCAATCTGAAATTTGACGCGAGCCCCCGCTGCAAAAATCCCACGAACACCGGACTGTCAAAATCCAGGACGCGCTCGTCAAAAAACTTCGGCGAACCCGAGTTCCGGCTTACTCGAGACTTACGCTTCCCCGAAGGAGGAGAGGGGGGAAGAGGAGAAGGATCGCGGGAAGAATCGGGGGTAGGGGGCCTCGAAGATCCAAGATCGATCAATGTCTGGGCGTCGCTTCAAGCTCTCTTTGGGCTTCCGGGGTCTCGTGGAGACCGCTGTGAGGTGGAGGGAGGAGGGGAGGGAGAGGTGGGAGGGGGGAGGGAGGGAGGAGGGACGGGGGAAGGGGGAGGGACGGGTGAGGGGGGACGAGGGAGGAGGGGGCCAGAATTTCTGTTGGGGAGGACTCAGTCAGGCTTGCGCGAAGTTGCATGCCACAGTGGGAGGCTAGAGGTGAGAAGGGAGGCAGGAGGGGGGCAAGTGTTGAAAGTGTGGTCTGAAGGGCAGCCAGGGAGTAGTAATTATGGGGGGTCCTCCTCCTCCTCTTCCTCCCCACCCTCCCTGTCTCCCTCGTCTTTCTACCTCACCCCTCATGTCTCTCCTCTCCGCTCCCATGCTTCCCTACCCCGTCTCCTCCAAATTCAAGCTGCGAGCTGTGGCCCTTTGGTTCCCGCAAGGGGGTGGCGGCCCTCGCGCGCTCCTCTCCTCCTCGTCTCGTCCCCATCCGCGCGCGGCTGGAACAGGGGGCGGAGGAGGGGCGCGCGTATAAACGCGGGCTGGAGCTCAGCCAAAAGGGGGGCTCCCCCATGGCGAGGGAGACTGACCCTCCTCCAGCTCCTCCTCATCCCCCTCCTGCCCATCATCCCTCTCCTCCTCCTCCCCCTCATCCTCCTGCCCCTCCTGCCCACCCTTCCCGCGCGGGACCCCGAAGACCACGAGGCAGCAGGCCTCCATGTGCACAGTCTGGTGCACCACGGGGACCAGTGCCAGTGTGCCTACAGATCCTGTCCGGCGCGCGTGCGCAGGGAGGCCCCTGCAGAGCCCTCCCTCCGAGATGCTCGGGCCGTGGTCTCGAGGCCTCCCAAATGGGGTCCGAGTGGATGGCGCCGGAGGATCGTGCCGCAACGCCAACGCATCGCCCATGCACAACGTCGCCGATGCATCGGCGCCGTCGGCGTGGAGAAACTCGGGTTCTACATCGAGCCTCATCGCCGATGTATGGGCGATGTGGCGCGATTCCCCGACCCCATCCACTCGGGCCCCGTTTGCGAGGCCTGAGTGGTCTGCATGCAGCTCCTGCATTTTCACTTTGGTAATAAAGGACGGCGGGAGTTGTTGACCCATGCCTGGCCCAAAGACCCTCACTAGCTCGACAAATTCCATATTGAAGATACTGGGTCGAGAGATTCAACTGTGATTTCCTCGCTGGGTGTATTTTTGACGACGTCGGATGTCAGGGTCCTCCTCCTCCTCCTCCTCCTCCTCCTCCTCCTCCTCATCATCATCATCATCATCATCATCATCATCATCATCATCATCATCATCATCATCATCATCATCATCATCATCATCATCATCATCATCATCATCGGTCCGAAGCTGCTTTCGGCCTCAATGTGCTCACGCGGCGGCTCGACACCGAAGCCCAATGCACGATGCCGACATGCGGCGCGCTGGCTTGCTCTACCGCGAGGTGGCCATTTCCAGACTGCAGCGCTACCCTCAGCTGAAAGCGTGGAGCGGGACGACAGGATGTCAATACATGCGAGCATCCGCTACCTACATCTACAGACATACACATTCATACATACACACATACATGGTACACGGCATACGGGGCGCACATCGTCGGGATGAGCGCCCACTTCACCTACCCAGCAAATCGAAACGACGGTTGCGCCTTCGCTGCTCAACACAAGTAGCATGTAACAGGTTCTACGTTGTCGGGCATCCAGTGGCCATCTGACTGAGCACTGTCTGAGGAATTCAAGGAAGCTAGACGTGGACAATGCGTTGACGGCCTCGAGAACCAGATCGCCAGGAGAAGACGAATGGACCTCAGAGCCGAGACAACACCGACGCATGGACCACGTACAGGCTACAAAACCGACGCGAAGGCCTTAAAGGAACAAACGAACGGCGACAGCATGACAGGCGTCTCGAAGATCGGCTTCCCGGTAGAAGGGGAAGTATCCATCATTGGTCGCCAGTCCGGGGCGATCATGAGGCGATATGTGACTGCTGTGCGCCGGGCCCTGGGCCAGAATACTTGCAGATCCAAGACATCTTGGTGGCAGCAAGAGCCCAAAACGAGCCCAGAGAGCTCCAAGACGGCCCCAGGATTCGCAAAAGACATTGCGAATGTGGTGGACCAGCCGCGCCGAAGACGGCCCCGAGCCCACCAACGGCCCCCCGAAAGGCCCCTGAGAGGCCCCCGAGCCGGCCCAAGAAGCCCTCAAGAGGCCCCAACAGAGCCCCCAAGAGCGTCCACGAGGCGTTCTGAAAAGGAGATGGAGGACGAAGGAGGAAATACGCAGAATTGTATATCTAGTTCGCGCGCGCGTGGCGGCCCCAGGGGGTCCCCGGACGACCGCGCGCGTGGCGGCCCCAGGGGGTCCCCTGACGACAAGCACCCAGAGCAAACAAGTCCTGGGCGGTCGGATGACGGAACTCCCGGGCGTGGCCGTCGGAGCCTTCAAGATCGCCCCAGAATGGCCCCAAGGGACCCTAAGGAATTTCCAAGAGGACCCAAGAGTTGGAAACAATAGGTGGCAGACCTCAAGATGGCCCGAAAACGTAAACTAGAGGCCTCAAGATAGCCCCAAGATGGTTCCGGACAGGCCAAAGAGGGCCTGAAGAACTTGAACTATTGCGATTTGAGATCGGTTTTCAAGGATTTTGTTGTCACCTTCTCTTCCGGCTTCCGACCGCTCAAGACGGCCTAAGAGGCCCCAAAGATCGCCCCAAGCCAGACCAATAGGCTCCAGGGACGGCCCCAAGACAGCCCAAGAGAGTCCCAAGACGGCCCAAGAGGCCTTCCAAGAGGGCTCCACAGGCTTCAAAGATGGCCCAAGAGGGGGACATCCGAACTGACACGTCGAACCCTTCCCTGAAAGATGGTCCCTGAAGCCGACAGCAGGTTCCCAAGAGGCCCTGGAGGCGCGAAAGACCTCCCCCAAGAGGTACCAAGCGGCCCCCAAGAGGCCACAGGAGCTCAAAAAGACAGCCAAGAGGCCGCAGAGCGGACTCCCAAGAGACCCCAAGAAGCCCCCCAATAGAGGCGTCTTGTCTACGACCCAGTTTGGCCCCAATAATGCCCAAAGAAATCATCGAGAGGCCTCATCATCATCCGCCCATCATCCTCCTTCTCCTCATCATCCTCCTGCTCCTCCCCCTCCATTTCCTCCTCCTCCTCCTCCTCCTCCTCCTCCTCCTTCTCGCTCGCCCCGGGGAATTTCAAAGCCGCTCCAAAAGAGCGTTCGAGTCAGGATCCATGATCGCACAAGGTGGTTCCAAGTGCAGACCAATTGAAATCCACCAATCTCGCAAGACAGCCACGCCGTCTAAGGAAATCCCAAGCAAGCGCAAACGAACTCCAAACGAACCCGAGATGGGCCCCAAGAAATGGGCCCCATGGGCGGCAACCCGCAAATAGCACCCACAAGCCCCGGGCGTCTGGACTCCGCTGGGGGTCGGAGGGATGGCGTCGTCGAGTCCTCTGCCCCGAGACGCCCATGACTGCTCACGCAACACTTCAAGGAAGCCAAATAGCACCGCCCGGACAAGCGGACAAACGCCCGCGATGGAATAATGCCAACCTGTGATTAACAAATGATGCCCCAGCCCGCGAGGCTGATGAATAGACCCCGCGGGGCGCGAAACATACTGTTAATCACGCGCGCCAGGGCTCGGAGAGCTCGGAGAACCACCGCGCCGCGGATGATGGCAAACGGCATGAACGACGAGAAAGGAGGAGGTGGAGGAAGAGGAGGAGGAGGAAGAGGAGGAGGACGAGAAGGCGTTCTGGGCTCTCCCAGGTGGGGGGGGTCTTGTGCGTACATACTTCAGAGCGCCGTGTGCGCACGAGCACTGGCAACGATCACCCGATTCCTCGCCATTCCTCCGTCCCCGCAACCCTCTTGGCTCACGCAATGGGGACCAGGCCGCGCGGCCACGGCGGGGCGGCGGCGCAGGGCGGCGGCACCGTGCTCCCTGGGCCCAAGGCCCCAGCCTGGGGCTGCCGCTGTGGCGAGGCGGCCAACTGGGCATCGCGGCTCCACTGCAGGAGCTGCGGGGGCCCCGCGCCCGTCTCGGTGCGGCAGAGGGCAGTGGAGGCGGCAGCGGGCCCGTCCCCGTCCGCGGCGCGGCCGCCCAGGGCCGCGACGCCCAAGGCCAAGGCGGGCGCCAAGGCCAGCGCCGAGGCGGAGCCCAAGCCGGCAGCGGCGGCCGCGAGGGCGCCCTGGGTGCATGGCGGCGGCAAGCCTCGGCGAGTGCGCTTCCGCGAGGCGGAGGTCGTCGAGATCGGGGAGGACGACGAGCCCGACCAGCTGGCCGCGGCGCTGCGGCTGCTGGAGGAGCGCGGCGTCCAGCTGGATGAGGAGGCGCAGAGGAAGCTGGGCGTCGGCAGGCAGGCCGACCCAGGCAAGGCGGCCCCCGAGGCGCCCAAGTCGCACCATGCGATGGTACAGAGCGCCATGTGGAAGGTCAAGAACACGGCGGGCAAGCTCGAGAGGGCTCAGCAGAGCCTGGAGGCCGCTCAGGAGGCGTTGGCGGACGCCCAGCTGGCGGTGGACAAGGCCGCGGAGGCCAAGGAGGCCGCGGCCAAGGCCCACGCCCAGGCGCAGGACCTGCTCGAGCGCGCCAGGAGAGTGGAGCAGGCGGGCCTCCCGCCTGAGGCTCAGCTCGACCAGCGCGCGCAGGACATCGACAGGCTGGCCCAGGCCACCCTCGGCGCGAGGTACGCTGCCGAGCTCAAGGACCACTTCGAGGGCGAGGAGGCCGTCCAGGTCACCCAGGCCATCGAGCTCTTCTCAAGGCTCGCCGCCTCGAGCAAGGCCCGCATTGATGCGGCCAAGCGGGCGGCGGAGGCCCCACCCTCGGGGGCGCCTCCTGCTGCTGCTGGTGCTGCTGAGCGCCTTCCCGACGACGTGGGCGGGTCACCCGCAGCCGCAGGAGGGGACGCAATGCAGGAGGAGGGCGACGACTTCGACGCCAGAGTGGAGGCCCTCGACGAGGCCAAGCGAGCCGAGGTCGAGCGATTCCTCGAGTCGCACGGCTGCTCCTTGCCCAAGCGCTTGCGTCTCCCAGCTGGCTCCGCTGCAGGCAAAGGCGCGGCCGAGGCAGCGGAGAAGAGCGAGGACCAGAGTCACTGAGGCGCCCGAGGGCGCGGAGGCGGCGGCTGCCGACCGCAGGGTCCTGGTGCCCCGTGAAGGCTCGCTGTGGAGGCTGGTCACCGCCAACACGACCTCCAGGGTGAGCATGCGACGCTGGCTGCAGGAGGAGGCGCAGGGCGACATCCTCTTTGTGCAGGAGACGGGCGTGGCGCCAGGAGCGAGGGCGGAGGTCGAGCAGGCAGTCCGACGCGATGGCTGGAAGGCCTCCTTCACGGAGGCTCGCCGCACGGAGCGAGGAGGGCTCTCCAGCGGAGTCGGCCTCGTGTGCAGGGCCCACTTGGGCATGGGCAAGCCGCCCGCGGGGCCCGCGCTGCCCCCAGACAGGATGGTGGCCCGCTGGGTGAACGCCATCGTCCCAGGAGGATTCCTGGCGGTCTCAGTCTACCTGGTGGCGACCACCAGCGGCCTGGACCCCGAGAGCAGGGTGCTGCTCGCGCAGCTAGGCCAGTACCTCGAGGCGGTGCAGGCCCCGTACATCATCGGCGGCGACTGGAACTGTGCACCGCAGGAGCTCGAAAGATGGGGCTGGCCAGATCGAGTTTCGGGTTTCGTAGCGAGCTCGGGGCAGACCACCTGCAGGATTGGAGGGGGCACTGAGATCGACTTCTTCG